TGGGAACTGACGGGCTAACGCGACGCTCCCATCCCTTCCCTTCCCCGTTGACGGCTGCGACGCTCTTCCTGAGCGTTGAGCTAGGACTGAGGAAGGGTTATGGTTTCCTCAAATGTCATTGGATATAACTGTCAAAACGAAAACGTAAGGCTTTCTTCTGGTGTTGGCAGAGAGGACCTCTAGGAACTGGTGTTTTACTGTCCTGTCAACATGCCAAAGAACTGACGTTTTTATTCCCAACGCACACAGGAAAACAGTCTTTAATCATATGGTGTAAAACATTTAGGAGATAACCCTGTGTCATAAACATGCCCTATTAAACAACAACCAATCTTGTAAAGATGAATATTTAAACATCACCCAGCTACCATTGCAGTCAAGGTTTTATCCCTCAACTGTTTGTCTGTGGACTTTGGTTTAATCGCGGTGGTAGTTTTCCACATGGAAAGCATGACGTCACTGAAGAAAATATTCAAATACTGTACGCTAACAACAACAGGATGTCCTACTTGTTTTTGTTTTATGCCAATTTCATAAACTCATCCAAGTCCAATTTTTTTTTTACAAAGTTCTGACATTTGGAATTACATAATCTTTGAAATCTGTTTTTCAAATAAAAGAATTGAGTCTCTGTTTCAGAACATGCTACACAATCAACATATATAAAGGAATCCACTGTTAAATAAGTATTTTCAAGTGTAAAAATTGATTGAAGTGTAGAAATATTTTTTTTCTTATTATTTTACATGTCCAGTTCAAATGCATCTTCACAATCAAATTAATGGGAGTAAGATGGGTGACTTGAAATGCTGTTCATCCTTTAAATGCTTTGTGTGTTCCGTTCCTGTGTTTCGATCTCAAAGGCTTCGTTGCTGTAGGGATTGGGGCCAGAAACATTGGCATTAGACTTCTTCATTCCACAGCGGATCAGGTTGTAAACGGCCACCACAGGGATGGAAAGAATGGGGACAACGACGAGGGCGACGATTATGCCGAACACCCACTTTGGGTATTCCTTCGTCTCAGTTTGAGGAAAATTTTCCTAAGGAAAAAGAAATACAAAAGCTCAGAAAAATGGAGTATACTTTGAAAATAAATGAAAGCACAATGCAGTGAAAGAGCTGTTGACTTGAATGAACCATATTTCTATATTTTTGATCATAACTAATACCCTTTATCAGAGCAAAAATATTGTAAATGACTTTTTTTCTAAGCTACATTTCTTAAAGTAGGACGTATGTTGCTCATTCCGGTTAGGTAAAACGGTCTGACACGTACACCATTACCGTTCGTGGCTGTACATTAGTAAAACTAAAAGAAAATATCGCTCTTGAAAATTTGGGCTGTTCAGAAATCGGCAAGCTATTTTATTTTCAAAGAATGAGCGCAGAACTAGCATAGCATAAACAGGACGCACACTATACGTTTACAGCTAGCTAGCTACCCGATGTAGCCTCACTTTGTTTTAGCTGAAAGCGAATGTTTCTATTTGTTCAACTGGATTTGTTTTCTACTATTAACAACAATTTGCTAAGTTGAGTCTAAGTTTTGTGTATGTGTATGTGCTATATTAAAGTAATTAAACTGTAAATACTATGTAATGCAAAAGTTGACTTGCTTACATAATTTGGGTTCCAAGCAGGATATGTTGGATATGTACCAGCCTGGAGAGCCACATAAGCAACAAAAACCACC